AAAGGAAAAAATTGGCAAAAGATGGAAACAATTAACTGAAGATATACAACTGGCCAACAAACATGAAAATATTCCATCTTACTCGCCATTAGACCTGAGCGTGGTGGCTCATGCCTGTCATCTCAACACTTTGGAAGTCCAAGGAAGACAGATTACTTGAGCGTCCCCCTGTCCCCCCACCGGGCTTGAAGCTAGCCATGGGCAACATGTCGAAACCCTGTCTTTACAAAAATTAGCAGGGCCTGATGGTGTGTGCATATGACTGTGGTCCCAGCTACTCAGGAGGTAGAGGTGGGAGGACTTGAGCCTGGGAGGCTCTAGTTCAAGAACTATTTGAACCCAGGAGTTGAAGGCTGCAGTGAGCCATAATTGCTCCACTGTACTGCAGCCTGGGAGATAGAGCAAGACCCTGCCTCAATTAAAAAAAAAAAAAAAAAAGAAAGAAATGTCAGAGTAGCCCGGGGGTGGTGGCTCACGTCTGTAATCCCAAAACATCCCGCCAGAGTTCGAGGTGGGCGGATCACCTGAGTTCAGGAGTTCAAGACCAACCTTGCCAACATGGTGAAACCCTGTCTCTAGTAAAAATACAAAAAAATTAGCCGGATGTGGTGGTGCATGCCTGTAGTCCCAGCTACTTGGGAGGCTGAGGCAGGAGAATCACTTGAACCTGGGAGACAGAGGTTGCAGTGAGCTGAGATAGCACCATTACACTCCAAACCGGGCAACAAGATTGATACTCCATCTCAAAAAAAAAAAGTAATGTGTTTGATCGTTAATAAAACTCTAATTTTGCCAAGACCCAAATTGGTGATACAAAACCAAAGTTCTCAAATCAGATTAAGTCTTGCTAGAAAGGCGGTAGAGGGACGAAGTCATGGAGCTTCTTCACTTTATTTATTTATTTATTTATTTATTTATTTATTTTTTGAGACAGAGTCTTGCTCTGTCGCCCAGGCTGGAGTGCAGTGGTGGGAGCTCGGCTCACTGTAAGCTCTGCCTCCTGGGTTCACACCGTTCTCCTGCCTCAGCCTCCAGAGTAGCTGGGACTACAGGTGCCCACCACCACACCCGGCTAATTTTTGTGTTTTTAGTAGAGACCGGGTTTCACCTTGTTAGCCAGGATGGTCTCAATCTCCTGACCTCGTGATCCGCCCGCCTCGGCCTCCCCAAAGTGCTGGAATTACAGGCGTGAGCCACTGCGCCCGGCCACTTCTTCACTTTTATATAAAATTATCTCCTTTTTTTTGAGATGGGGTCTCACTATGTTGCCCAGGCTGGAGTGCAGTGGCACAGATATCAGCTCACTGCAACCTCTATCTCTTAGACTCAAGCAATCCTCCCACCTCAGCCTCCTGAGTAGCCTCCTGCAATGTTGCAATCTTAGATAACTACAACCTCCACCTCCTGGGCTCAAGCCGTCCTCCCATCGCAGCCTCCCCAGTAGCTGGGAAAACAGGCACACACCACCATGCCTGGCTAATTTTTGTATTTTTGTAGAAACAGGGTTTCACCGTCTTGCCCAGTCTGGTCTCCAACTCCTACCTAGACTCACTCAATCCCCCCATCTCAGCCTTCCAAAGTGCTGGGATTACAGGCACAAGCCACCATGCCCAGCCTATAAAATTATCCTTGTTCAGGTCAGAAACAGATGAGGCCATAGATATGATATAACGGGCTCACAAATGACAAAAGGAATCTTTATTTTGATTTTTCATCTCTGCTTTTTTTTTTTAAGCAACCCACGTTGTCTAGAATTTTTTAAAAAATCCTAAACATTTGCCCTATATTACTTTTTCAAGGGCATTATACGAAACAGACTCAGCTCACAAAATGTATGAGAGGAACAAATTATTGAATGGATTGGATAGGATCCAATTGACATTAGTCAATAGTAAACAAAAATAATAATATCATGTATATGTAGGGCTAATTTTGTGCCAGGCATTGTTCTCAATTCTTCTTTCTTATATTAGCCTACTTAATTCTCAAAACAATCCTAGGATATAATCCCCATTGTTAGTAGTAGTATCCCTTTTATGGATGAGGAAACTGATGTAAAGAGATTAAATAACTTGCCCAATGATAGCTAGTGAGTGGAAAACACAAGATTCCCAAACTGGCTCCAATGACAATATTTCTTTTTTTTTTTTTTTTTGATATGGAGTTACACTCTTGTTGCCCAGGCTGGAGTGCAATGGTGCGATCTCAGCTCACCGCAACCTCTGCCTCCTGGGTTCAAGTGATTGTTTCGTCTCAGCCTCCTGAGTAGCTGGGATTACAGGCATGTGCCACCATGCCTGGCTAATTTTGTACTTTTAGTAGAGACAGGGTTTCTCTGTGTGGGTCAGGCTGGTCTCGAACTCCCAACCTCAGGTGATCTGCTCACCTTGGCCTCCCAAAGTGCTGGGATTACAGGCGTGAGCCACTGCACCCAGACTAATTTTTTGTATTTTTACCAGAGTCCCAGTTTCATCATGTTGGCCGTGCTGGTCTCAGGTGATCTATCCGCCTTGGACTTTCAAAGTGCAGGGATTACAGGTGTAAGCCACCACACCCCGCCAAAATCCTATGTTTTAGATGCAGTCCATTGAAATTACTTTTGATCCCACTCCACCATGGAATGATTTCCTGGTTGCCAAACCCAAACCCAAAGGATTTTTTTCAGCCCTATTTTTTTTTCTTTTTCTTTTTTTGTAGAGACAGGGTCTCACTATGTCAGCCAGCATAGAGTACAGTGGCTCAATCTTAGCTCTCTGCAACCTCCACCTCCTGGGCTCAAACCATCTTCCCACCTCAACCTCCCCAGTAGCTGGGTCTACTGGCACATGCCACACCTGGCTAATTTTTTTTTTTTTTTTATTTTTTTACATATTTTTTTGAGATGAGGTTTCACCACGTTGCCCAGGCTGGTATTGAACTCCTGAGCTCAAGTGATACACCCACCTCGGCTTCCCAAAGTGCTGGGATTACAGGATGAGCCGCCGTGCCCAGCCCAGCCCTTTTTACTTATTTTATTTATTTATTTATTTATTTATTATTTATGTATTAATTATTTTTGAGACGGAGTCTTGCTCTGTCACCAGGCTGGAGTGCAGTGGCGGGATCTTGGCTCACTGCAACCTCCGCCTCCCAGGGTCAAGCCATTCTCCTGCCTCAGCCTCCCCAGTAGCTGGGACTGCAGGTGCCCGCCACCACGCCCTGCTAATTTTTGTATTTTTAGTAGAGCCAGGGTTACACCATGTTGGCCAGGATGGTCTCGATTTCCTGACCTCATGATCCGCCCGCCTCGGCCTCCCAGAGTGCTGGGATTACGGGTGTGAGCCACCGCACCCGGCCTATTTTATTTTATATATTTATTTTATGTTTTGAGACAAAGTCTCACTCTGTCGCCCAAGCTGGAGTGCAGTGGTGCGATCTCGGCTCACTGCAACCTCTGCCTCCCGGGTTCAAAAGATTCTCCTGCTTCAGCCTCCTGAGTAGCTGGGAGTATAGGCGCCTGCCATCACGCCTGGTTAATTTTTTTTTTTTTTTTTTTTTTTTTTTTTTTTTTTTTTTTGAGACGGAGTCTCGCTCTGCCGCCCAGGCTGCAGTCCAATGGCGCGATCTCGGCTCACTGCAAGCTCTGCCTCCCGGGTTCATGCCATTCTCCTGCCTCAGCTTCCCGAGTAGCTGGGACTACAGGTGCCCACCACCACGCCGGGCTAATTTTTTGTATTTTTAGTAGAGACGGGATTTCACCATGTTAGCCAGGATGGTCTCGATCTCCTGACCTCGTGATCCGCCCGCCTTGGCTTCCCAAAGTGCTGGGATTACAAGATTGAGCCACCGCGCCCGGCTAATTTTTGTATTTTTAGTAGAGATGGGGTTTCACCTTGTTGGCCAGGCTGGTCTCCAACTCCTGACCTCAAGTGATCCAGCTGCTTCGGCCTCCCAAAGTGCTGGGATTACAAACGTGAGCCACCGCTCCCGGACTACACTAAGAATTTCTAGGCAGGGAGCGGTGGCTCACGCTTGTAATCCCAGCACTTTCGGAGGCCGAGGTGGGCGGATCAGGAGGTCAGGAAGTCGAGACCATCCTGGCTAACATAGTGAAACCCCGTATCTACTAAAAAAAAAATACAAAAAATTAGCCGGGCGTGGTGGCGAGCGCCCGTAGTCCCAGCTACTTGGGAGGCTGAGGCAGGAGAATGGCGTGAACCCGGGAGGCAGAGCTTGCAGTGAGCCGAGATCGCGCCACTGCATTCCCGCCTGGGCGACAGAGCGAGACTCCGTCTCAAAAAGAAGAAGAAAAAAAGAATTTCTATTCACATTTCATAGCTGAGGTCTCTCAGCTTCCTTCAAGGTAGACAATTCTGTATCTCTAGGTGACCCAAATTTATCCCCTCCTCTTTCGTGCACCCAGTTTATACTTAACCAGGAACCATCACATTATTGCATTGTCTATTCACCTGGACCTTGAAAGGAAGGTCCTGAGTCTTATTTATCTTATTGAGTCTCCTCAATACCCAGCTAAAGTACTGGTTACATTAGTTTCCTTCATTTTAATAGGTTTAAATGATAAAGATCCTGTCTAGGATGCTAATCTGGTGCAATCTCCTGGAAGCTTCCAATTTCACTACTTCGAGAGAGAAACCGTATTTTGGCTCTAAAGAGGGCTCCTGACTTCGCCACGCTCACCTTCAATGGTGCTTCACGGCGCAACCACTTCCCCTGTGGTTGTCACCTAGATCAAGGACCTATCTAAGGAGAAAACCCAAGGACAGGCAAAGACAGCCCACGCACTTTCAACAGGAACTCGGCCCCTTTCCTAAACGTAGTTCCTCTGATTACCCTCTCCAATTGACGTCTCTATGATCCAATTAGGTTTCGAGGCTCAGAGTGTCGCCCTCTAACCTCACACTGTCCAATAAAAAAAGGAGTTTCAGATTAGCACCAGTTTTGACCAATGGATGAGAAGATGAGCGTGTATTAACCTGTAGAAGCAGCACTGAGAATGATGAGCAGCCAATTTACCCAATGGACCTGCCTACAGCAGCGTAGGCCTCGCCCCAACTGCAGGAGAGCAGGCGGCGGGGGTTGCTGCAGCGATCAGTCACCACCCGGACTCCGCCATGTTGGGTCTTGTGGGTCGTGTGGCCACTGCTTCGGCCTCCGGGGCCTTGCGGGGACTCACTCCTTCAGCGTCGCTACCCCCAGCTCAGCTCTTACTGCGGGCCGCTCCGACGGCGGTCCATCCTGGTAAGTGCTTTTCTCTAGGAGCTAAAGTTCCATTTTGCCGCCCCATGACCTTGAGCCGGGGAACGATGGTAGCTCGGGCCTAAGGGATCTGTGGTGCTAAAAGTATGCCTGGAGCCGCATTTTGCTCTCTAATGGCAGGAGAACAAGAATGGGACACCCATAGAAGGTTTCTTTGACCCAGCTCTGTCCCGTTCTGTATGAAGTTCTTTGTGTGACGGAAAAGGTGCGGGCAGGTGCGTTGACCTTCCCGTTGAATAGGGATATTGAACTCTCGAAAAATGGGTTATTGTGCATGCGGATGGGAAGGCTGTGCAGGCGCTTTATCGATCGCTGCGCGGCCTTCCCTCTTGGACACGCCTTCCGTACAAGCGGAAAGAGGCCTGACTTCGGCTGAGTTTTCCTCTTATTGTGTAAATCTTGGCTTCCGATAACCTTTTACTGTACTGACCCCAGCTCCTTCCAATATCTTTTGTCTGTTAGTCAGGGACTATGCGGCGCAAACATCTCCTTCGCCAAAAGCAGGCGCCGCCACCGGGCGCATCGTGGCGGTCATTGGCGCAGTGGTGGACGTCCAGTTTGATGAGGGACTACCACCAATTCTAAATGCCCTGGAAGTGCAAGGCAGGGAGACCAGACTGGTTTTGGAGGTGGCCCAGCATTTGGGTAAGTAGAATTTATTAGGAATAGTAAAGACCTTGTGTAGCCCAAGTATCCCAAAAACCAAGCTGTCTCCCTCTGTGATGATTTTATCAAAATGACTTTCGTTCTTCTGAGTTTGCTGAAGCCGCATTTAGGTACTGAGAAGGAGTCTTGGTCGACTTAGGTCTTGATACCAATTTTTACTTAATGTATAACCCTGCAATGCCTTATCTAACAGGTGAGAGCACAGTAAGGACTATTGCTATGGATGGTACGGAAGGCTTGGTTAGAGGCCAGAAAGTACTGGATTCTGGTGCACCAATCAAAATTCCTGTTGGTCCTGAGACTTTGGGCAGAATCATGAATGTTATTGGAGAACCTATTGATGAAAGAGGTCCCATCAAAACCAAACAGTAAGTTGCTCTTAATGCATCTGTGGACGAAGAAACTTCTGTTATTTGCAGTTTTACACATTAAGGTGACACGTTCTCATAAAGCAGAATTTGTCTTATGATACCTTCGATTATTAAAATCACACAGCGCAGTTTCACCTGAAGAAATTAGGATGCAGAATTTCTGATTGACAAAAACCTACTACTTGAGGGTTTTTTTTTTTTGTTTGAGAAGGAGTTTTGCTCTCGACTCAACTGCACCCTCCACCTCCTGGGTTCAAGCGATTCTCCTGCCTCAGCCTCCTGAGTAGCTGGGATTACAGGTGCATGCCACCATGCCTGGCTAATTTTTGTATTTTTAGTACAGACGGGGTTTCACCATGTTGGCCAGGCTGGTCTCGAACTCCTGATTTCAGGTGATCCACCCACTTCAGCCCCCCAAAGTGCTGGGATAACAGACATGACCCACTGCGCCCGTCTAGTTGAGTATTTTTAAGACTTGATCTTACTGCTTAGGTTTAGGAGTCTCCAAAACTTGTAGGTTTTTGTATTTGCTATTGCTATGTGAGGGAATGCTGTTAGGTTAAGGCTCAGTAAAATGAAAAATTTATGACAGTTAAAGTAAGGGAATGGGATTATTGTTTTAGGATTTTCTTTATTGCAGAAAGTTGGGTTAGATCCTGGATGATAGTTGATTTAATTTATACAACAAAGGGGAGATAAGACTGTGGTTCCTTAAGTAAAGGGATGGACTTGAGAGTTGATAGGGAAGGATATATAAGATTATCATTTGCTTTCAACAAGGTGAATAGATACCAATCCTCTCTTCTACTTTTACAGATTTGCTGCCATTCATGCTGAGGCTCCAGAGTTCATGGAAATGAGTGTTGAGCAGGAAATTCTGGTGACTGGTATCAAGGTTGTGGATCTGCTAGCTCCCTATGCCAAGGGTGGCAAAATTGGTATGTTATTAAAGGGTACATATTTTCCAAACCTAATATGGGAGGAAAAACTCATACACTGTCACGAGTGGATATTGACATCTATTCCTCACTGATGAGTACATTCTTTCATTCTTCTGAGTTTGCTGAAGCCATATGCAATTTCTGAGAAGGAATAGGATGGAAGGAAGCAATTCCTTTTTTGGAAGTTTGCTTATTTAGGAAAGCAGAACTCTTAAATATTCTTTCTTTTCAACCTCTTATAGGGCTTTTTGGTGGTGCCGGAGTTGGCAAGACTGTACTGATCATGGAGTTAATCAACAATGTCGCCAAAGCCCACGGTGGTTATTCTGTGTTTGCTGGTGTTGGTGAGAGGACCCGTGAAGGCAATGATTTATACCATGAAATGATTGAATCTGGTGTTATCAACTTAAAAGATGCCACCTCTAAGGTCAGCATTGAGCTGATTGATGTCCACATGGTAGTGATGCCAGGAAACTATTGCCAACTGAAGCCATGTTCTATATTTTCTATTTGATGTTTTTTTTCTTTTTAAAATAATTTTAATATTTTCATTTTAGTGTCCCAGGACCTACAAAGGAAATCTGTTAGTGTTTTCCCCCCAGCTTCCAATACACTAGTGGACATTTTCTGTTCTCTTTGATACTGACATTAAATAACATTCCCAGGTTTTCTTTTTGGTAGATAGTCCCATCATTTGAAAGCTAATTTTGGGAGGGGTGAATTGGACATGGTACATATGTTTCAGCTAAGCCTATTTTGTACTTTTCACTTAATTTGAAAAGGTTTTTATTTCATTTCTACTATAGTTTTGCCTTAGTAATATAAGAAGCTGTCTTTTTTGTTGTGAACTGCATCTCTAATAGGGAAAAGAAACTTGCACACAAAAATGTTGACACCTTCTGAGAAAGGATCTGTGGTCATTTCTCCGATTTGGGAACCTTCAATATGTGGCTTCTCTACTCCTTTGTCAGGTTTTACGATTATGTATGATTACTGCAGGTAGCGCTGGTATATGGTCAAATGAATGAACCACCTGGTGCTCGTGCCCGGGTAGCTCTTACTGGACTGACTGTGGCTGAATACTTCAGAGACCAAGAAGGTCAAGATGTACTGCTATTTATTGATAATATCTTTCGCTTCACCCAGGCTGGTTCAGAGGTAAGAGGGAAGCTTGAGAGGACCTGGTTCATTTGGCCTTTCTTTGGAGCTATTCAGATGAGGCTAAGGATGTAGACACCTAAGATCTTTTTTTCTTTTAGGTGTCTGCATTATTGGGCAGAATCCCTTCTGCCGTGGGCTATCAGCCTACCCTCGCCACTGACATGGGTACTATGCAGGAAAGAATTACCACTACCAAGAAGGGATCTATCACCTCTGTACAGGTAACAAAAATTACATAGATGAAGATGTGATTTGTAGAAAGGCGGGGTGCAGTGGTGCATCTCAGCTACTGAGGAGGCTGAGGCGGGAAGATTGCTTGAGACCAAGAGATCAGCCTGGGGAACAAAGCGAGACCCTATCTAAAAAAAAAATGTATGTAGAGAGATGTATAAAACTTATTGGGCCAGGCGCGGTGGCTCACGCCTGTAATCCCAACACTTTGGAAGGCCGAGGTGGGCAGATCATGAGATCAGGAGTTAGAGACCAGCCTGGCCAACATGGTAAAACCCTGTCTCTACTAAAGATACCGCCGGGCGCGGTGGCTCAAGCCTGTAATCCCAGCACTTTGGGAGGCCGAGACGGGCGGATCACGAGGTCAGGAGATCGAGACCATCCTGGCTAACATGGTGAAACCCCGTCTCTACTAAAAATACAAAAAACTAGCCGGGCGAGGTGGCAGGCGCCTGTGGTCCCAGCTACTCGGGAGGCTGAGGCAGGAGAATGGCGTGAACCTGGGAGGCGGAGCTTGCAGTGAGCTGAGATCTGGCCACTGCACTCCAGTCTGGGCGACAGAGCGAGACTCCGTCTCAAAAAAAAAAAAAAAAAAAAAAAAAGATACAAAAAATCAGCCGGGCATGGTGGCGGACGCCTGTAATCCCAGCTACTCAGAGGCTGAGGCAGGAGAATCGCTTGAATCCCGGAGGCAGAGGTTGCAGTGAGCAGATATCGCGCCATTGCACTCCAGCCTGGGCAACAGGGCGAGACTCCGTCTCAAATAAATAAATAACTTAGTTATTTACATCTCAAAAAGGTCTGTTAACTGGGGTTCATGAGCTCCCTGGAATAATGTGTAAAAGTCTGTGTGTGTGCATGTTAAAGACCCTAAAAGGTTAAGAAATACCCAAAATAATTGAAGGTAGGTCGGGTGGGGTGGCTCACGCCTGTAATCTTAGCACTTTTGGAGACCAAGGCAGGCGAATCACTTGAGGTTAGGAGTTCGAAACCAGCATGGCCAACATAGTGAAACCCCGTCTCTGCTAAAACTACAAAAAACTAGCCAGGCGTAGTGGTGTGTGCTAGTAATCCCAGCTAGTCGGGGGGCTGAGGCAGGAGAATCGTTTGAATCCGGGAGGTTGCAATGAGCCAAGATTGGGGCACTGCACTCCAGCTTGGGTGACAGAGTAAGGCTCTGTCTCAAAAAAAACATAAATGAAGGTATACATTTAAATGTAGATCACAAAGCAATGGTTTCTAGTCTAAGGGGAGTCCAGAGCTATATGGGAACTTAGCATTAAATATTTACTGTATTAGGGCTGGGTGCAGTGGCTCATGCCTATAATTCTAGCACTTTGGGAGGCCAAGGCAGGTGGATCATGAGGTCAGGAAATCGAGACCATCCTGACTAGCACAGTGAAACCCCATCTCTACTAAAAATACAAAAGATTAGCTGGGCGTGGTGGCACCTGCCTGTAGTTCCAGCTACTTGGGAGGCTGAGGCAGGATAATTGCTTGAACCTGGGAGGCGGAGGTTGCAGGAGGTTGTGGTGAGCTGAGACTGCACCACTGCACTCCAGCCTGGGCAACAGAGAGATACTCCATCTCAAAAAAAAAAAAAATTACTGCATTAATATATACATTTTCAAATATATATAGATGGGATATATAGTAAAATTACATAAATTTTATGTATAGTAAGAACATGGCTAAACTGTAGAAACTTTTCATGATTCAATTTAATGAACTATTGTGCAAGAAGTTTTTTGTTCTTGTTTTTAAATCTTTTTTTTTTTTTTTTTGAGATGGAGTTTCACCCTCATTGCCCAGGCTGGAGTGCAGTGGGCGCGATCTTGGCTCACTGCAACCTCCACCTCCTGGGTTCAGGTGATCCCTGGGTTCAGGTGATTCCTTTGTCTCAGCCTCCTGAGTAGCAGGGATCATAGGCACCCAACACCAGGCCCAGTTAATTTTTGTATTTTTAGTAGAGATGGGGTTTCACCATGTTAGTCAGGCTGGTCTTGAACTCGTGACCTCAGGTGATCTGCCCGACTCAGCCTCCCAAGGTGTTGGGCTTACAGGCGTGAGCCACTGCACCTGGCTTTTTGAGACAGTCTGTCGCCTAGGCTAGAGTGCAGTGGCACGATCTTGGCTCACTATAACCTCCACCTCCCAGGTTCAAGCGATTCACCTGCCTCAGCCTCCTGCGTAGCTGGAATTACAGGCATGCGCCACCACGCCTGGCTAATTTTTGTATTTTTTTTTTTTTAGTAGAGACGGGGTTTTACTATGTTGGTCAGGCTGGTCTCGAACTGACCTCGTGATCTGCCTGCCTTGGTCTCCCAAAGTGCTAGTTTTACAGGCGTGAGCCACTGTGCCCCACCCCCAGCTTCATGTTTTTAATTCTAAAAGTGGGTATTATTAAAATAGAGTTAAAATACAAGATGAAGAGCAAAAAGAATGATATTAAAAATTCTTTCATCATGGCTGAGAGACCAGATAATCTGTCAGCTTATTCAGCAGGTATTAGGGGTGGTAAGAAGGGTCTTTGGAGTGCTAAATGGAGTGAGATGGTAAAGATACATCAGAAAGGGGGATGGCTTCAGTAAAATTACTTTGGTTTGCTGGGCGTGGTGGCTCACACCTATAATCCCAGCAGTTTGGGAGGCCAAGGCGGGTGGATCACGAGGTTCAAGACTAGCCTGGCCAAGATGGTGAAACCCCATCTCTACTAAAAGTACAAAAAATTAGCCGGATGTGGTGGCGGGCACCTGTAGTCCTAGCCACTCGGGAAGCTGAGGCAGAGAATTGCTTGAATCCAGGAGGCAGAGGTTGCAGTGAGCCGAGATTGCGTCACTGCACTCCAGCCTGGGCGACAGAGCGAGACCCTGTCTCAAAAAAACAGATACTTTTAAAACAAAAAAAATTTTACTTTGGTTCCTGCTGTACTTCATGGGATCTCATTTTAGGCTATCTATGTGCCTGCTGATGACTTGACTGACCCTGCTCCTGCTACTACGTTTGCCCATTTGGATGCTACCACTGTACTGTCACGTGCCATTGCTGAGCTGGGCATCTATCCAGCTGTGGATCCTCTAGACTCCACCTCTCGCATCATGGATCCCAACATTGTTGGCAGTGAGCATTACGATGTTGCCCGTGGGGTGCAAAAAATCCTGCAGGTGAGTATATTACTATGTGGGATTGCTGTCCAGAAAGTTAAAAAGAGGGATTGTGGGGACTGTATTAGGACTGGATCTTTCTTAGTGATTTGTGTGATTTGTTTTGGAGCAAGGAAAGTTGAGGCTAGCAATTGCTAGTGAGAGCTAATGAGGTCTCTTGAGTTTCCAGGTACTTAACTCTGTGGCATGCAATATTTTTCTTTTTTTCTTTTTTTATTTGAGATGGCGTCTCTGTCGCTGAAGCTGGAGTGCAGTGGCGCCATCTCGGCTCACTGCAACCTCCGCCTCCCAGGTTCAAGCGATTCACCTGCCTCAGCCTCCTGAGTACCTGGGATTACAGGCGCGCGCCACCACGCCCGGCTAATTTTTCTATTTTTAGTAGAGACGGTTTCACCAGTTGGTCAGGCTGGTCTTGAACTCTTGACCTTGTGATCTGCCCACCTCAGCCTCTCAAAGTACTGGGATTACAGGCGTGAGCCACCGCGCCCGGTGGAATGCAGTATTTTTCTAACAGCACCAAACTAGGACTATGGAGAACAAGAAAGACACTAATCTTTCTTGGCTGAGGGTCCTCATACCACCACCACCCTCTCTGCCCCCTAGCATGTAACTTTCCCTTTGTTAGCTTGTCCAAATTAAAGGAATGAGAGTACTTAACTCAGGCTTCTTTTTTCTCATAGGACTACAAATCCCTCCAGGATATCATTGCCATCCTGGGTATGGATGAACTTTCTGAGGAAGACAAGTTGACCGTGTCCCGTGCACGGAAAATACAGCGTTTTTTGTCTCAGCCATTCCAGGTTGCTGAGGTCTTCACAGGTCATATGGGGAAGCTGGTACCCCTGAAGGAGACCATCAAAGGATTCCAGCAGATTTTGGCAGGTGAGATTTTGAGTACAAAGCTCAAAACATAAGATCACAGAAAAGCCAAAATCTTGAATGTTTACTGTGCTGTGGTCCCATTCCAACGACCATCAAGCAATATATAATATACTATGCCTAATTCTATTTTTAATTTAAAAAACAAACTTTCCCATTAATTTTGTTTGAAAATACTCTACATGACTGGATGCGGTGGCTCACACCTATAATCCCAGCACTTTGGGAGGCCAAGCCAGGTGGATCACGAGGTCAGGAGATTGAGACCATCCTGGCTAATGGTGAAACCCCGTATCTACTAAAAATACAAAAAAATTAGCTGGGCGTGGCGGCAGGTGCCTGTAGGGGAGGCTGAGGCAGAAGAATGGCGTGAACCTGGGAGGTGGAGCTTGCAGTGCGCCGAGATCGCGCCACTGCACTCCAGCCTGGGGGACAGAGCAAGACTCCATCTCAAAAAGAAAATACTCTACATTTAATTTGAGTGTGATTTGTTACTTGATGCTTTAGCTCCCTTTTATTTTATACATATTTTTTGAGACTGAGTCTCTGTCGCCCAGGTTGGAGTACACTGGTGAGATCTTGACTGACTGCAACCTCCACCTCCCAGGTTCAGGTGATACTCCAGCCTCAACCATCCAAGTAGCTGGGATTACAGGCACACGCCACCATGCATAATTTTTGTATTTTTAGTAGCCATGGGGTTTCACCATGTTGGCCAGACTTGTCTCAAACTCCTGACCTTAGGTGATCCGCCCGCCTTGGCCTCCCAAAGTGCTGGGATTACAGGTGTGAGCCACCATGCCTGACCCATGTGTTCTTAATTCATACTGTATCATGTCTTGTAAATTTGATTTGTGAGGAAAATTTAAGCTTTCTCAGATGACTTTAAGTCATCACATTCTAACTGATGGCCTCAAGTGGTAAGGAATGTTACACGATGCAGAAAATTGATATCCCTCCACTTCTTACTTTTTTTTTTTCCCCATCATACAGGTGAATATGACCATCTCCCAGAACAGGCCTTCTATATGGTGGGACCCATTGAAGAAGCTGTGGCAAAAGCTGATAAGCTGGCTGAAGAGCATGCGTCGTGAGGGGTCCTTGTCCTCTGTACTGTCCCTCTCCTTGCCCCTAACCCAAAAAGCTTCATTTATCTGTGTTGGCTGCACAAGAGCCTTGATTGAAGATATATTCTGTCTGAACGGTATTTAAGGTTTCCAATAAAATGTACACCCCTCAGAATTTGTCTGATTCTCTTGGTTCTGACAACATAGTCAACACTCAAGGGTTATGTATTTAGTTTTAGTTTTAGAGACACGGTGTCTGGCTGTGTTGCCAAGACTGGTCTCCGACTCCTGGGCTCAAGATCTCCCACCTCAGTCTCCTGAGTAGCTGGGGCTACAGGTGTATGCAGTCTCACATCACTAGCACTATTTTCAACAATTAGATTTTTAGAGTGGCTATAAGAAGCAGGTTCAGCTTGAAGTGGGCCATGTATGTTTGAAATCGGTCCTTAAAACTAGCCATTCTCTTGTTGATGGGCAATCGTACCTCTCATGCGGGGTTTCCTTTGGGTAGTGTGATCTTAGTAGGGCCTCAGTTTGGGGCCTTTAGTTCAATACAAATTGATGTTTTTTTTTTTGTTTTTTTTTTTTTGGGGGAGGGTGCCTCTATTTCATGTGGCACATCCCTACTTCTTGGTTAAAAATAGGTCTTTTTTGAAGGGCATATTGGGAAAAACTCGTTTTAGAAGTAACCGATTTCCAGGGGTTAATCTGAGTTTAATGAATTTTCAAGAAATAGTGATGAATACTGATCTTTGTTAAAATTGAATCAAAACGGTTCTCTACATCTTGGCTAGGCCTTCATGTCTTCAGCAAGTGTACTGAAATACTTCCTGACATTTTGGGCAAGCCTAAATAAAAGTTGCTTGTGATTGCTTGAGGCTATGCAGAGGCATATGAGGCCTAGTTCACCCTCTGTGAAGATCCCTTATGAAAGTCCAGAAAAGAGAATCTCAAGGGAATAGCAATTTTCAGGGTTGCTGGCTTGGGCTTCTAAACTAATGAAGTTAGGTTATTTTCCTTTCATTTTAGCCTACTGAAAGGTGCAAGGGTAGAAGGTGTATTTCACCATTTCAATTTAAAAGAAGCTTGCAAGGTCAGATTGGGTTCCCCTTGTGTTCTTTTCCGGGACCAGACTCATCCTACTGCCCTCTCGCGGTAGCACTGGAGACTCTGCAAGAACTCTGATCCCATTTTCAAATCCACGAAGGCCATTTGCTGGGATGTGGCTCTCAGTTAAGGACTGTTTACAGACCAGCTGGGGCTTTTGTCCTGGGGAGGAGCCTGCATCTATAAGCTCCACCCGCTGAGGCCATCAAGTTAGGTAGAAGCTGGGCGGGGACAAGCTGAGCTCCCAATTCAGAGGCCCCTGGGGGCTGAAGGTTGGGGAGGGCTTTTTGGCGCGGCGCCAGGGGTGGAGTAGGGGCCTCTAAGCTTCCTTCCATCTGCCTATGACGTCCTTGGCAGCAGCCTCTCCCGCAGTCTCTACTGTGTCATGATCTGGACAGAAGGTGGAGCCCCTGAGCTGCTTGTGCTGGTAGTTTGCTCCCAGAAAAGCTTGGATTTGGGGAAATGCTGAGTTATGGGGGTGGGGACACTTCCTCTAGGTCCTGACTCTGGAGTGGGTAAGAAGCTGGTAGAAAAAGCCCTAGCGTACAGGTCAGCCCTTTCTGCTTTGTTTTCTCACGTCACCCGATACAGACCTGGGAACTGAAATCCTAAAGGTCTTTTGCATCCCTCCACCCCTTCCCCCAACACGTTCACGTCCTTCAGCGTTTATCGAGAACCTTCTCCCTCTCAGTAGCTGCAACTATTTATTTCCTTCCCCCTTTGCCCGCCTCTTCTACCACGCCACTGGAGTGTCAACACAGCTCTAACCTTCCTCCATATTTCTCCTGGTCTGCCCTGTCCTCGCCTCCTCCCTCTCTCCACCCAGAGAAGGCCCCGCCCTTCCCTCCTCCCTCCCCACCCAGTCTGTCACACAGGGACATCACCCTACAGCAGTTCAGGCTGTGTGGTTCGCAGGAAGCATACACTGGCTTTTTGATTGTTGCTAGTTCCCAGCTCACAGTTTGGGAGGATCCAACACCAGCCTTCACGTGAAGTGGGGGCCCAAGGACAGTGAGGAGCTGGGTGGTCCCAACCTCGAGCCCTGCCAGCCTGACATGGGTGAGTATGGGGACCAGCCCCGGGGAAGGCCTGAGGGATGCCTACTCCCTCCCTGGCTGACTCAGCAGGGGTGGGGCCTAACCTTTGCTCATTTGGGGGGTGAAGGAGAGGAAACAGGACTCTGGGGGACGGGGGGCACAGGGCTCAGCTGGCGAGGCTGCCGACCACGGGATCCTGAGTATGGGCAAGCCCCAGCTCTAAGTAAGAGCCCCAGACGCACCTTAGGCCAGGGCTTTCCCAACCCCCTCCCCGCCGCCCCGTGGAGGATTGCCCCTGCTCCTCGCCATTTAAGCTGTTGAGATTCAAGGAAATTTTGACAGTACTCACTGCTAGCCCCCATAAAAGTAAAGCCCGCTTTTGGCAGTGCTGGAAGGTCTTTAAAGTGCCTCCCCTCCCTCTCATTTTTCTAAGGCCTTTTAAGTCTGCCTTCTCTCCTCCCCCACCTTGACCCACCTTCAGGTGGGGGCTGCACTGAGCAGCTGCTTCCTGTTGCCCCAGGGACTGAAGCAAGGTTGGTGGTGGTTGGGGGAAAACTGAACCAAAGTCGATTCTCGTGGTCCCACATCAGCCTCACTAGGGCTGCTATTGATGGCCCCCACACTACAGTTACTGAGGGCACTGAGTGGGAGGAAGGATTGAGGTTGAGAGGATGGGAGGTTTTTGCCCTCGTAGCTTCCTGATTCCAAATGCCCCACAGCTGTAGGGATGGGGCCCTGAGGAGCTGAAACACGGGGAACCTGTTCACCTAGTAGGGCGCTGCGCGTGACCCCCAGCAGGTTCGGCCTTGAGTTCCCTCTCCTGCACCCCCAGGGGCCTCCTAGGAGCCCATGTAGCTCTCGCTGCCTTCCCCGGCCACCTTTGTGAGGCGGTCTTTGCTGGTGCCCTGGCAGCGCGGGCAGAGCTTTCCCGAGTCCTTCCTTTCGGACCTACCACCATCCCCCACTTCACCGCAGAAGTTTGTCTCTTTCTGGGATCTGTTCTCTTCCTCCCATCTGGGATCCTTCCTGGTTCTGGCCCCTAGGAGACGCCACCCGCTTCCCTCTCCCCCAGTGGATCCTTCGCGACTGCTCTCCTGAGCGGTTGTCCTCACCTCGGTAGCTCCTGCCCCTTTAAGCACCACCTCCTCCCCTCCGCCGCCGCCGGCCCAGGGCTGGGGGAGGAGGCGCCGCCGCCGCCCGGCTCGGCCACCTGCGCCGCTGCCGCCGCCGCCGCCCGCGGCCCGACCCTGCTCCAGGTGAGGCCCGGCACCCACCTCCAGCTCCGGAGTCCCCTGGCGGGCCGTTCCTGCGGTATCCTGCCCCGGGATTCGGGATCTGACTCTCCCCCGCAGGGAGCTGCCCTTCCTCTCTGCCCTGAACTATCTACTCGCCCATTTTTCCCCTATCCTTTGCGACCGGAATCCGGAGGCTTCTCACGCCTCTCCGCCATCCTCTCCCGAGTACCCTTCCTATTCTGGGCCCAGGATCTCCCCCTCCCCCGCGCCTTCCTCGCCAGAAAAATCTCCCGCGGTCTGGGTTTCGCCTCCTCCCCTCTGGAACCAGCGCTTTCCCACGCCTTCCTAACCCCAATGGGAGGGGGGATACCCACCCCAACTCCTCTCCTTCCCCGTAGTAAGGGGGGCGGGGGAGCAACATCGACAACACTATCTGCCCCTGCTCCGCTCAGCCCTTTAAGTTCAGCTAAGTCTCATCTAAACCTTTTCTGTAGTCCTCACCCCACCCTACATCTCCTGGAGCCTGGGGTCCAACCTCAGCACCGCCTACTGAGCCCAGGTGGGAAGGGCTCTCCTCTTGGGCCTAGGGTTGGTCGGTGCAGCCTAGGAAGGCCCCTCCCCCAGAACCTGGGAGCTGGGGGCTAGGGCGCTGCCGGAATCTTGTGCTTCAGGGCCTCAGGGACGGTTGGGAGAGAGTGGGCAAGAGAAGTCCAGTCTTCTCTGTTCAGGTGCAAAGGAAGCCCCCCGGCTCCCTAGGAAATAGGGGCTTTCTCTAACTTACAGGACCACCATAGAGAATCCCATTGGGAAGTTTGGAAACAAGACTGTGTGAATCTGAGGAGCCACCTGTCGACTTAAAGGGGAGAAAGAGGCCGGGGTGGGGTGGTGTTCGCCTGTAATTCCAGTACTTTGGGAGGCCAAGGCGGGCAGATCACTTGAGGTCAGGAGTTCTAAACCAGCCTGGGCAACATGGCAAAACCCCGTCTCTAAAAAATATACAAAAATTAGCTGGTCGTGGTGGCGTGTGCCTGTAATCCCAGCTACTCGGGAGGTTGAGGCACAAGAATCGCTTGAACCTGGCAAGTGTAGGTTGCAGCAAGCTGAAATCACGACACTGCACTCCAGCCTGGGCGACAGAGCAAGACTGTCTCAAAAAAAAAAAAAAAAAGTGGGGAAAGAAGGGGAGGGGTATGGTCCTTGTGATGTGTTAGGAGCCTCTAGCCTTTCCAGAATACAGAGAAGGTGAAGACTTTTGCTTTAACCTGTGTGTGTGTGTGGGGGGGGGGGTGTCCAGCTGGAATGGTTACTCGGCTGAGAGCCATCTCCCTGCTAGACAGACCCTGTTAACAGTTTGATCCATTCAGCCAGTGAGGGGAAGAGAGGTCTTTAATAATTATCCCACTTCCATTAGAGAATTCCCCCTCCGCCCCCAGTCCAGCTGCATCCCTAGCTATGCTCTGTCATTTTCCACTCCTCACCTCCAGAATTAGGGGACTGGGTGTCAGGATCTGCTTCAGACTCTTCTAAGTCATGTTTGGAGGGGGTGCTGAGGGGAGGAGAGGGTGTTCAGCAGTGGTGTTTGCGGTTGGATGCCAGGAGTATCTGGTGGGGGAGAGGGAAGGACGTAGAGGGATGCAAACGAATCCCCTTCTCTCTCTTCCTCCTCCCAGCCCCAGCCATCTGGCTCCAGAGTGGAGCCAGGCACCGTGGCAGCTGACCCCAGAGTCAGGGAGGTGCCGCAGGAACACAGGAGGGTGAGAAATGGGGAGCAGGTGCTAGTTTGTCCCTCCCCATTC